CTAGAAGTAGAGCGACTAGAAGCTAAGTTGCTTGCTCGTACACTTCTAGGTCGTAACCCTACTAAGATGCTCGAAGACCTTAATAACCTAGGCAACCGCTAAGTCGACATTGAGTACGATTAGACGGCTCACGTTAACAAGTACGGCCTCTCTACTAATAATATTAAGAATTAGTAGAAGGACAAGCGAGGGAGCACTATACGCGGCGGCTAGCGAGTCGGTATACCTATAGACCTCAATTAGCGTATTAGTGGGCTATCCGATGCTTAGACATTATAGTACAATACGCTCGTCGATTATTAGCACTCCTAGATTGCAAATATAGATACTCCTACATTCCTCCTTAATGTCGACGGCAAGGCTAGCGTCGGCAAGTCCTATGTAATCGAAACCGTCTCGTTAAAGCTTAAAGCATTAGCTAATAAATTCAACACTTCTAATACTAGTTTCCCCGATCTTTAGATAGCTAACCCTATCGTTCGTCTTGCCCCTATAGGTACAGCAGCGAATAGTATAAAGGGAAGCACTTTGTATACGTTCTTTAAATTGCCGCTTAAGATGAAAGAATATATCCCTCTCGATAGTTAAGCTCTTACCGACTTCTAGGATCGAATAGAATAGATTAAGTATATTATTATCGATAAGAAGTCAATGCTTAACTTAACTATTCTTTACTAGATTAAACAACGCCTCCGTTAAGTCTCTCTTTAGGCGCCTTAGAGTTAGGGCCCTAATGCTATACTACCCTTCGGGGGTAGATGTATTACAATTGCTAGTAATTTCAATTAACTTCTCCCTATTAGAGGAAAGCCTCTTTTCTCGAAGCTCTCTAAGTTACATACACTAGAGGACATTGCTAGCTACAATGCCTATTAGCTTTTTAACTAGACTATCTAATTAAGCGTAATCTATCGGCAGTAAGGAGGTGATCTTGTATCTCTTGCCTTCCGTTACGCGTTGGAAGGTCTACGTAACGCACTAGGTAGAGTTACAATCGATCACTAGGAGACTCTTTGTAGTCGAGTAAAGACTGCGCTTCCTTAGGCCGAGTAGGATTCATTTAAGTATGCGATCCGCCTATACCCGATAAAGAAGCAGGTCAATGCTTATAACTAAGATATAATGCGAGACAACCGCACCCCTATTAAGTTGTCTAATGCTAATTACACTAGTAGCTATAATATAGCTAGAGCCAGTTACGAGAATAGTAGTAACCTCTACGTTCGGCTGCCCGTCTGCCTTAGTGTATGTGTAATAGTTACGTAGAACCTTTAGACCGAAGGCGGCATTGTTAATAGGAGCCTTAGTACGATTCGGGACGTCGTTTAGGCACCTATAGGTCCTAATAACGACCCTCTCGACAAGCTCCCTATAGTTCTTCTTGTTTAGCTCGACAAGTATACTAGTAAGACGTTTAATAAGCTTTTTAATAAGGACGGCTCTCTTAGTATACTACGCCGTATCGTACTAGTTATTCCTATTCGGCGTAAATAGCTTTACAACTAACGATAGGATGCTCGTTGCTTACGAATACAGTTTCCTTTAACTATTGCCTATACTATTACGATCTACAAGTCTTAAGGCATAACTCTCGATAAGGCTATTCTCGATATCTCTAGGAAGGACTTTACCCTAGGATTGACTTATGTCGGTGTCTTACGAGTACGTAGTCTAAGCGATATTATATTTAAAGCGCCGTTCAATTTTTATAACCGCTTTAAATCCGGCAAAGTTCCTAGAACCGTCGTTTCTCGGTACGCTAATATAGTTCGACGTCGAATATAGCGCTTGTTACCTAAAGGTGTAGTATTGTCCTCTATACCTCCTCGTCTAGATGCCGCTATTGCTCGTAAAGGCGATCTTGCCCTCTATACTAAGTAGTAGCGAGAGAGGCTCGATGCCTAGCGAGCTAGGCAGGCAGGCTAGGATAAGGCTTATAGGAAGGTAGAGGCCTTGTAGTACTTAAAGGATCTGTAGGCTATTGCTCGTATAGAGTAGCTATAGGGTGTTCTACGTGCTAACCCTCGGTTGCCGTATAAGATTACTGCCCTTGCTTAGCGCTATACTAGTACCCCCCTAGAGGCTTATAACTTCCGGCATCTACTAGCTAAGGGTACTGTTAATGCTAACCTAGTATAAGGATGCATCGACTAGTTCGAGGCCTTATACCCGCAATATACTCTACTACCCCTTTAGGTTGATATAGGGCTCTCGCAATTACAACTAACGTAGTTAACCTCTAGCCCTTCGCAATACCCGTTTCTAGCATATCCTCCGGCATCTACTCCTAGTAATAGGACCGATTTCTTTACTCGTATTAATGCTAATCGGAAGAAAGCGGCATAGACTCGCTAAACAATTAACCTTCTATATTCTAAGCAAGGTAACGCCTCTAGCTCTCCGATACTAAGCTCTCTCCTATACGACTAGTATAACGATACTAACCTTCTTAATGCTATTTAGCCTAGTAAGACTATTAGGTTTAGTAAATTCGTACTAAGATTCTATAACGCTCGTAAGGACTAGTATGTCGATCCTAAGCGACTTTAATAGGCTATCTAAGCGATCCCTCGAGTTACTATCAATTAGCGAGGCTAGATCCGCATCCTTATACGATAGGCGGATTTCTAGGATAATAAGATACTAGATAAGTAGGAGCTTTTAGATAAGTAGGAGACACTAGACGACTAGTAGCTAATAGATAAGTAGGAGGTAATACAAGATACTAATAATAGGCCGGTTGAGATATATATAGCGATTAATAACTAGTTCTCTTACTTTAATTTTTATTCGATTCCTTTTTAGTTATACTATCCGCTATAAAGCTATAAGCAGAGACCGCGATTATAAGCGGCTTGCCGCTTATAGTCGCGGTCGCTTATAGCGCCTATATAGGTGGTTTAATGCCTCTTAACAAGCCTATTTAGCCTAAGTTACGCTATAGATACTAACGAGTTTTATAATAAGCCTATTTAGCCTAAGTTGCGCTGTAGATACTAACGAGTTTTATAAAGGCAGGTTTGACTTGTTATCCGCCGCTCGCCTCGGCTTCGCTCGGCTATCCTAACCTGTACCGCGGGTCTACGGATACTTTATTTACCCTAGTTTAACTATATAGGACTTCTAATAGGAACGGATATGCTGTTCTTTACCTTCTATATGCAAAATCTCATACAATTAGTAATCTACGTTATACCTACGCCTATACATAGTCCGCTGCCATCCACACGGCGTACCGCTGTGTAAGTTTGAAAATCCATATGGCCACCCATCGCTATGCTTGGAGAAGTGAAGGTTGTATGCGTGGTTGAGATCCGGTCAAGGATTAGATCGGCCTGAGCCCCGCACTAAACTCTATCGAAAGCGGGGCATCTCACATCCTGATCAACATGCTTGGCAGGCACAAGCAGCCGCCGCGCCAACGGCATCTAACGTTCTTCGCTCCGGCAAAATGCAGACCCTCCTGTCGACTTTCAAATCGATTCCTATACGAAGATCCACCTAACACAAGCCTCTGCTTTCGAAACACCAGTCCCAACCGCGTATTGGGGCCACACTCGGCCAGGACCCTGGCCTATGGTCTGGTTCATGGCACGAGGACAAGACGGTACGGAGACAACAAGTTCAGAACAAGTTTGGGACAGACCTTATTAGGCTATCTATAAGGGGAATATTGTTGGTGGGATTGAAGAGGAGGAGATGTCTAGGAGTAAAGATGTCCTGTAGACTTTAAATACCTTGCCTCAGCTCATCGAGAACAGCAAGTCAGCTCGAACCCAAACCCTTTCCGGACTGTGCGAATAGATAGCAGAGTCCCAGCGAGGCGTCAAACCAGGACTATCATGGAGCCCAACACAAGAAGCCTTTGGGACCCGGAAGCTCACCATGCTCAATTTTATAGAGTCCGAGGTAGATGGTGGCAGGTGTGAGGTCTTGCAACACCCACATCGATAGCAAGGCTCATTTTCGATTAAAGTGCATATTTGTAGCGCAGCGCCACTTGGCTTGATTACTGCCCAACATGTCAGCCATCTCCAGCATATCATCATCTCCAAAATTCAGTATATGCGACATGAGCAGCTCAGTCAACACCATTGTGCACGGATGCCTGACATATGCAGAGTCCAGACGATCGATGAATCTGGCTTCTCTCCTCTTGCGCAGACCGCCCTTCAAGCATCCCTATATGATGGCGCGCCCGCGCATGAGAGTCCCGTGGTAACATTTATCGGTGTGCGACTCCTTCGATTTGGGAAAGCTTGCAACGGGCACGGCCATGTATCGCGTAGGAAGTGCAATGGTTGTCATCATTGCTGAAGAAAAAACCAGGAATGGAGTCAACATACCTTGTGTGGTTGTCGACACACGAGCCTTGTAATGACAGTGAGATTGCAAGACCTCACTTCAGTTGTGGGTTCACCTGAGTAGCAAGATCTCCGATGCTGACTCCGAATCAGTGATAGTGCTCGGTGTCGTCAGATGCGCTCCTGGTTCCGCGGCGAGTATGAGGAAGTTGAGGAAGCTGTGCCGCTACTTTCCAGGTCAAAATTAGTCCCATCAGGTGCCTTGGGCTCGTGCTTGAAGCCTGAGCTGCCTCGCGGCTCCAGTTTAGCGTCACATGCACGGTCGTTTCAACCTCACCTGAAACGCACGGCTTTCATAGCTCTTTCGAGACGCAGAGACTGCTTCTAGGCTTCCAATTCTTTCCTCAACAGTGCAAACTTCTCGCAGCCACAACAACTACTAGAAGTGTCACAACTTCGGCTCGTCCTTGCTCGAACATCTTCGACACTCCACATCAGATCAGCAATCTGAGCTTGTGTCGCTTCCGGCAAAGTTATCGCCGATAAGTGAACCGCACGCGACGACCGCTCCGAGCCTCGCGACTTCACATATAAGTCGCAACGTCCAGTCATCAACTCAGCCGTCGACATCAACCTCAAGCAAGAACACAACCACCGACAACACACCACTCCACTTACAGAATACCAACCGACACCATGCCAGCCTTCTCGATGGCAGGACCGCTATCACAGCCTGTCCGCGCCGCCAGCCGAAAGCTGGAATTTGAGCGCGCGCTCAAGGAGAAGCTGGATGAGCTTGAAGTAGAGCGAGATAAGCTTCAGCAGCAGCTCGACCATGACGAGGCGAAAGCCATGGAGCTCCTCGAACAATTCCTGCCACTTCCGGATGGCCTCGAACAAGCGGTAAGAACGGCTATGCAGGACCGGGACAATATCAGTGCTGAATGGGAGAGATATAACCATGTCCTCCGTCGATTTCAAGGAGCGAAAGACGTTCCCCTTTCGCCGCAAGATGAGGAGCTGCTCGAAAAAGCGCTCGCTTGGGATGATAGCGCTGAGGTGCCGGCTGGAAAGCCCGCTGCAGGGAGAGAATCGTCGTCCATCGGAGCGGCTGAGGCCAAGGAAGCCAGGGAGAATGAAGAGCACATGGCAAAGGCCAGAAAATATGAGTGGAATTCGGGTCTGGGTTTGAACAAGGCCAGCAGCAGCATGTTTGCGCAAGGCGCCCTGGACCAAGTTCTGAATCCAGAAGCAGGAGTGGTGAGCGATGCGGAACTCGATGATGTTGATGACGAGAGCGAGGTAAGCAACTCCCAAATCGATGCTGGTCTGCTGGATGAGGATGGCGAGCCGAGAAGGAGAGCCCGCTCTTGGTCAACTGGAAGCAACATTACTGTGTATCGTCCACCGACACCCGAAGGAGATCCTGAGCTTGGAGGAATGCAGCAAATCAGTCCTTCTCCGACACCGCGAAGAGGACAGAATCAGACTTCTCCAGGATTCGCCGAGAGTGGAAGAGGAGCTGCACTTCAAATGGAAGATTACCAGAGAATCTCTCGGGAATCCACGCCAGCAGAAATCCCGATACCACGAAAGCTAAATCTTGGCACTGGATTGCGGCGAAAGTCAGGACATGACGCTCAGGATGACTTGCCACTTTTTCGAGCAAGAACTCCGCCAATGGTCGACTTGGATGATGATCTGTTCGAAGGCAGTCCAGGTGAGATGTCACATCTTCACCAGGAAGAAGAAGATCCTCGCGCTGCGACTTCCGAAGAGCTCCCACTGGAAGAGATGTCGAATGCGTCCAGAGCCTCGTCGGAGTCGTCAGATGGTCTTTTCGTGAGCGAGAAGACGCCTTGGGTGCCTCCACGTGAGCGAGCGAGAGCTCATCACACAAAAGGTCCTTCCGCGAAGTGCAAAGACTCTCTGGCAACGGCGGCTCACCCATCCTCAGGTCTGCATCACCTAACTCAGAAGCATCCTCGGGTGAATGCAGAGGCTAACTTTACTCAGCACCCGCCCTCACTTCGGACAAAGGTCGCCGTCGCACCTTCCATTAGTCGAAAGCGGTCACCTGTTGCATGCTTACCAACCCCAGTTTCAGTTCCATCACCCACAGAAGTTAGCTCGACAAGCACCATCGATCAGGACCTACCTCTCGGCAATCCATCCTGGAACTTCGACGCGGTCGACGCAGCTCAAGCTGAAGCAGCAGCGCTTACCTCCGATCAGACATCTTTAGCACTCCGCGCCAAGAATGAGACCAAGCATCGAACGACAACACCAGACTCAAATACATCAGCCAGGCCACTGAAGCAGAAGCAGAAGCAGAAGCCTCAACGACCACTGAAGCCTAAGAAATCCGTACGTTTCGCAGACGACGCCGACGCCGACGGTCTGCTATACCCAACAGCAGGCGGAAAGTCTTTCCAATTGATCGGCCAGCAAGCGAAAGGTCCTTTGCTGCCGACTCCAGAACAAGCCAAAGGCGACTGGACATATTTCATGAAAATGCCTTCCAAGCTCAAGCGCAAGGCAGGTGACGTTGAAGAGGCTGCAAAGGTCGAAGGTAGTCTTGGCGCGTACAATCGTAAGAAGACGAAGGTGGTGGATGCAAAGAACAAGTGCTTCAGCTTAGTCGAAGCAGGAGATGCCGATGACTCGGAGCCGGAGCAGGGAGGCACCTCGAAGCCGGCTCATATGAGAGGATCGAGCCCCAAGGCTGGCAAGAAGAAAGCCATTAAGAAGACCAAATGCGCCAGTGCCATCGAGAATGATCGGTCCGAGGGAGCAGAGGAGAAGACCAACAAGTCGACGCCTGAGGACAGCAAGAAGGAGGCTCCGAAGCCCAAGGAGAATCTTGAGGAAACAATGATGAGAATCATCATGGAGGCAGCCAAGACATCCGGGAAGAAACGTGGTTCAGGCTTCTTCGGACCAGAGCAGTAAGGTAAGACGATGATTTTAATTTCTTCTTGGCTTGATGGAGGTCGCGTTGCGGGACGGGGGCGAGGACATGGTTGCAGTGCGTATTGAATCCAGAGCGGCACTAACAGAGTAGGTTCCAGTTATTTGGCTATGTCACCGGGCGGCAGCAGGATGGATATCTTTTGTTGCATGGTGATCGATTTGGTGATTGAGACGTAAATAAGAACGGAGGAAGTGGAGGATCAACTTCGAATTCAGACACGCATTGTGACACTAAGCAGAATCGAGAAGTGGGCTGGAAGGGGCGGGCCTGAAGCTTGAGACTATGCAGTGACTCCAAAGAAACACAACTACACAAATTCCTGGACGCTGTGAATACGCCTCGCACCATCGCCAAACTGAAGTCTTTCCGCACTCTGAGACTGCTCGCAAGGGCAACGCGACCGCAGTATCGACTTCAGCGATTTTCGCCAAAACACATCAATCAATTCAGAACCTTTCCTCGCACTGCAATCATGGCTGCCACTCAGATTGACGACAAGGTCAAGAGCCTGATTGCAAAGAGCTTTCCCAACGCCAGCGATCAAGAGAATGAGCCGGCAAAGTTGTCTGCTGCCATCTTCACATCAGTCGAGGTAGAATATTCAGAAGTATTCATAAGTCCGAATCAGTGTCTAACACGCCTCAGTACACACCAGCAGAGAAGACTGAGATTGAGCAATGGTCCACAACCGCCTCGCATCTTGCATCGTCGAACGAAGACGCAGCAAAGACTGCCGAGCGCCTGTCGCACCTCAACACACATCTCGCAAGCCGAACCACCATTCTCGGGAGCAAGCCCTCCGTGGCAGATGTAGCCATTTTCTCCCGATTAGCTCCAGTGGTCAAGGACTGGTCACCCGAGCAGCGAACCGGCGAGCAAGGCTACCACCACATCGTTCGACACCTCGACTTTGTCCAGAATGCCGAGCTTTTTGGTCTCAAGCTGGATGCAGGCGAGAAAGTGGACATTGACCCAAGCAAGGTAGTGGCACCGATCAAGCCAATTGACGCAAAGGCGGAGAAAGAGCGCAAAAAGAAGGAAAAGGCAGCTGCAGTGGCGGCAGGCGCAGATAGTGCGGCAGCAGCAGGAGGAACAGTCACAAGCGCAGCGGGCGAGGATACGAAGACGGCTGAGAACCAGAAGCCGAAGAAGGAGAAGGCAAAGGATCGTGGGGAGAGCATAGCAGCCGCCGTTGGAGCATCAACACCGACCGAGAAGAAAGAGAAGCCGAAGAAAGAGAAACAACCCAAACAACCAAAAGCACCCGCAGCACCAGAAAAGCCTTTCTCGCCTGCTCTCATCGACCTCCGAGTTGGCCACATCCTAAAAGCAGAGCAACACCCCAACGCAGACTCCCTCTACGTCTCCACAATCGCATGCGGCGACGCACCAGGCACCGACAATACCTCAGAATACGAAGGCAAAGTCGTCCGAACAGTGTGCTCAGGCCTCAACGGCCTCGTGCCACTCGGAGAGATGCAAGGCCGAAAAATCGTCGCCGTCTGCAATCTCAAACCCGTCACCATGCGAGGAATCAAATCTGCAGCTATGGTCCTCGCCGCATCACCACGCGTTGCCCCAGGCGAAGACGATCACCATGCCGGACCAGTCGAACTTGTGACCCCACCTGCAGACGCTGAAGCCGGTGAGCGAGTATATTTCGAAGGCTTCGAGGGCGAGCCGGAGCCAGTCTTGAACCCGAAGAAGAAGGTGTGGGAGGAGAATCAAGTTGGGTTCACGACGACTGAGGACAAAGTCGTGGCGTTTGAGCCGACCAAGGTGGAGAAGTTGAAGGAGAGTGGGAAGACTGAGGTTGCGAAGTTGAGGACGAAGCAGGGTGTTTGTACGGTCAAGACGCTTACGGGTGCTACTGTGCGGTAAGGACGTTCATGGCCGATAGAATATTCGAACACCAACCGCGTCAGGCTGAAACTCGGTAATAAGTTCGATGAGAGCTGGGTCGCATCACGAGCATGCAAGATTTGAGCATGCATATGCATGCCAGACCAGTCGAACTCGAACGCAGTTGACGATAGATCAGCAAAAGCATAGCGAGAAAGAACCAAAAATAAAAATGCATCTGAAGACATAAGATAACTTGCATCCCACGTCAGCTTGATTTCATTGCCCTCTTCTTCACAGATGGCAAGGAAGAATGAAATAGAGAAAGGCAAAGTTCCAAGTCATTAGACGCCAGGGCTAAGGGAAGACAGGCGACAGACCACAAAGAACAGAGAAAAAAACACTTGTGTGCTCAGTTCAAGTTTTCAGATGCTCTCAGTCATTAATGCAAGTTTTCCACACTTAACGCTATGCTTATTATTCTATGCACACTGAGGTTGTGAAAGTGTTAATCCTGTACACTGTGTCGACGAGTACCGATTCTCTGTTGTTGTTATTGGTGTTGTTATTAGGATATCTCTTCCAACCCAAACCAAATTCCAAGAATCAAAAATTCTGGCAAAGTCGCTGCTGCGTGGATATGCTCATGCTCTGAAGAGGAAGAAGGGGAAGTCGGTTCAGTCATCGCAGGCTGGCTTCTTCACGCATCAGCCTTCTTGGGAAGAGGTGGTCCAGTTCCACTTCTCGCCCTCCTTTCGCGCTCTCCAACGCCATTTGCCGGAACTTTAATTCGAAGCTTACTCCTTCCACTCTCGAAGCGGCCGCTTGTCGCGCGCTCCCACTCGGTCGGAGGTTCGTCTTCTCGACCGAGCCAGTATCTCTTGCTCGGGAATCTGAGCAGAATTCTGCCGAGCTTGCCTCGCCAGCCTGAGCCTTCCAATCGATCTGATGCGAAGGGCGAAGGTGCCATTGTTGGGTCGGCAGTGTCTGTGCTGTAATTAAGATTGCTGTTGCTCGTTTGCGCGACGTACTGTCGTAGCATGGATCGCGCATATGACATGATTACGATGCAGAAGTAGATTCTGACGAGTGTGAAGAGTGCGAGCAGCGCGATGCTGGTCATGCTGTCGCTTTGCAGGACTGCGCCGCCGAGGCCTCCTGTCTCGTACGTGTGTCCGTATGCCACAGCTTCTTGTGCGGGCAGGATTCCCGATGCCGGCTTCGCAACCACCTCGACATTCGACACGTTGTATTCGGGGTCCGTGAAGCCTGCTGTCTCATCCATGGTGCCTGCCGCACCCCGCAAAGGATTTTCCACTCCAGGCTCTTGAATGGTCTTGGGCAGGACCATGAACCACGCTGTGCCGAACAGCACAGTATAGACGCTGTTGATGACTGCGTCCAGCACATATACATAAGCCAATGCCACATTCCGCAATGGGTGGTCCGGCCTCCTAATACTGGGCATGAGCCATGTGACCAAGCCAAGAACGAGGAGCGAGTAGATGTAGTGCGAGACCTGGAGCGGATTCAGGTGGTAGCCCGTGAAGATAGCAAGGACGCCATAGAGTCCGGTGACCTTGTTGAATATGAGGGTTAGATTGATGAACTCGGCGGCGGTTCGGAGTGAGATGAAATGTAGGAGACTCTGCGTGTGCATTCTGTCAGTCATTGGGCGTCTTTACGAGGCCTGGAGGCATTTCTCACCCTCGGCTTGGGGAAGCGCAAGATGGTATGCGCCATTGTCGGGCGTGTTCCAGCTGAAGATGGCAGCGTTTCGACGTGCGCTGTGGAGTCGGTTCGATTGTGCAGGGAAGCATGAGCGATGTCATGTTTTCGGATCCATGCGGTAGAAGGTTGCATGCTCTTATGTCAGCGGCAAAGCGGATACGAAGGTCGTGGCATCCAGCAACCGCTTCTCTACCTCTCTTTCTCTTCCTCCAACTCACGATCTCGAGACTCCTTCCTGCCACACAACGTCTGCCCCCATGCAGCTTCATCCTCGCACATTATGCCACGCCACAATTCTTTTGACCCCTTGCCACGGGTGCATCTCCAATACCGAGGAAATTGCCCTTGGTCATCGCGACATATCCGCCAAGCACGGCCGTGGACACCACTGACCGACCTGCTAATGCATCAATGGCCTGTTTGCGCATCCGCTTCAGACCTGTCACAGAGAGTCCGGATTCAATCTCGGCGGGCAAGCCTACGGCAGCGCGTAACAATTTCGCAGCCTGCAAAACTTCAAGGTAGCCATAGTGGTCAACATCCATCGTCAACTCATCGAGGCCTCCAGCCGGCAGCTGCATCGATACGCTTGTGAGCGTTCGGATCACTTGATCCATCTCTCCCAAGTCATCTTCGAAAATGGTCGCCAGGTGCGCAGCTACGGGCAATTCAACTCGACCAGGCGTGAAGAGCCTACCGATCTGGACAGCCCAGGTTGCGCAGGTGGGAGGCTTCTTCAGGCCAAGAGCTGAAAAGTCGCCTTCTCTATCCATGAATTTGAGCATTCCGCTACTCACGAGCAGATTCCAGCTGACACTACTGAACGCCGAGCTCGTGATCTTCCCATACACCAAGAACTCGTGCGAGTGATTCGAAAAGTCCTGTTCTAACAAGCCACCCAGGTAAACCGCGGACATCACACGGTTCGGAGACCGAAGGAGAGTGACGTCCAAGATACTGATGTGAAGATTTCCGGCATCAGCGAACTCCCTCGCCCAAGCGAGACATAAAGGTAAAGACTGTGTCCACGAAGAGAAAAATGTTTCCGTGCTCTCATTCCAAAGATGATATCGGGCCTTACGCCAAACGGCCTTCAACGGAAGCTCGTGGATCTGCTTGTACGTCTTTTCGGGGTGCAGCATGAGGTACAGAGGCGTAATTGCCTTCGTATCGTTCAGCACAAAGCCATGCTCTTTTCGCCCACCAGAGTTATCATGCCAGAAACGGAAAAGAAAGCGCGGAACACGTTCTGTATGGTTCAGCAAATGTTCTTCAAAGTCTTCGGCGCTCATCGTGGGATTGAATGATGACCCGGAAGACCAGCTTGTTGAAGAACCGCTGGAGCTGTCGACATTGGAAGAACTCATTGCTTGCTGCGTAGAATTCGGGCAAGCCTACGTCGTCACACGGACCAGCACAGAGCGCATTTTAGTATCAATCTGATGTTTGCTGGTGCAGAAGAAGCGCGATAGACCCGAAAGAAACCAATAATCTTCTCAAGCCCACCACGGGAATCCATAATGAACCTCTTAGCCCTGCCGCCGTAAGAAGCAAACGCCGACTCCATCTGCTCTCAAACATGCGTCTACTCCGCACCACCATCTTAACAGTAAATGAAATTTCACCTATAGATAGAACTTGGTCTCTCCGACAACAGCGAGTCTAAGAGCTCCCATAGCAAACACGATTCCTTTTGCCAACAACTCTACGTAAAATCGAGCATTGCGGCCAAGCATTCCTCAGTCCTCATGAACCCCCTCAACAAGCATCAAAAACAATCCCTTCATCTCAGCACTCCACGCAAAAGAAATTCCAGCCACACTCGTATGAAGACCCCCCCCCCCCCAAAAAAAATCGTCGCCCAAACCACGCAAAGTGAAAAAAATCGAACATTATAAGTGTCATTCGTTCGTTTCTACACAACTAACGCACCCCAAAGCTTTGTTTGATTTCGATTCGAATTCTAGATTTTACACAAACGACATGAATCCATATTAATAAAATCCACCCACCACCACAAGACTTTCACCTCTCCTCGAGAATCCAACAAAGATCAGAGATACAAGTTCTTCTTCCTGTCTTCCCAGCAGGCACGGAATGGGAATTCTCTCAATCACCAAGGTAAGAAGAAAAAAAAAGAAAAAAAAAAGAACGACCTTCGCATCATAATCGGTGATGATCGAGGAGCACTGTGCCCCAAGGCATATATATATATATATATATGCGGTAGGTACCCGTACCCTCAACGCGCGATCCTTGCCCAAATCCCCATGAGATTTTTGGTTTTTCGAATCAACATGAAGATGATGAACGAACTCAACCCCTGCCTCCTCTCCTCTAGTTACTTTACCTACTACCTTATGTATTGCACGTAAGCAATTGATATATCACAGCTCCCAAGTAACTTCATCACATCAAAGTTGACAAGAGAGCGAAGTTGAAATTGCGCGTAACAGAAACACAAAAAAATTACATTCAAACACTTCAAAAACACAATCTAATCATACAATTCCATAAGCAGACACATCCATTAATCCATTATTCTCTCATGTCCATGCCCGTCTTCATGCAAACAAATAAGTATATTAAACAAAGCAGTCGCAGTCGCAGTAGTAGTGGTATGCAGGCAACAACTCAAAGCCTCGAAAAAAGTGACTAAGTCAAGTCGTCATGAGTTGCGCGTATCGTATGTCGTATGTTGAGTGCCGATGCAGCCATAAGGTGATGTAAAAGGTACCCAAGGACTGTGGCGTATCCTGTTGTCGCCAGCACAGCAAGGTGACAATACAGAGTGTTGACAAATGCGGAGGAATGCTCAGCGTAATCGTCAGGGTGGTTGGTGATTGATCAAGCAGCACGCTCATCCTTACCGCCCTTGTTCTACAAGTCGCGCCAGGCCGAGCGTTTGCCGCGAGGAGAAGTCGAGTCTGCAGCGCCATCGGCGCCAGCATCGGAAGCGATCTTGATACCCATCTTCTCGGCAACATGCTCGAATTTGGCTTTTGTGGGGGAAGGGATCTTCTTCTTGCCGCTGTTGTCTTTGCTTGGAGTGCCGCTTGGGGAGATGGTGGGGGACATGGGTGGACTGGCGATACCATCGAGAGAGCCTTCCCGGAAGCGGCCGCCAGAGCCGACGCGGTGAGGAGCTCCTACGACGTCGCGAGTCAGCTGGCCTGGACCTCGAAGCGATGGCTCGTTCGTACCGTCGAACTGGGCTGCAGCAAAGTATCCGGTTGCCAAGCCAGCTGCGTGAGCGAGAGAGCCACTAGTCTTCCACTCGGTAGGTGTCATGATGCGGTTGCTGGGCCATTGGCGGTACATGTTTGCGTCGATGCTGCTGAGACTGGTGATGCGGTGGCCAGTGTCTGGTGCGCCTCCGGAAGCGATGCTGCTAGATGCAATGCTGCGGGTGCTTGTGGTGGGAGAAGCTGGCAGTGGCATCTGGTTGCTGGATGGCAAGAGATACGCGCCGGCTCCCTCGCTGGCACGTGCATTCGAAGAGGTCTTCTCCGACTGACGAGCATCGATGTTGCCCTCTGACATGATGCCCTGGCGGTCAAGAGGAATGGCGCGCTTGGGGATCAATTGGTCGGGCAGCTTCTCGCCTCCAGTGACTGGTCCAGAAGGAGAGCTGTGCTGCTTCTTGGCCCACGCTCCGAGGTTGACAGGCAGATCAGCCACGTGAGGACCCTCAGCAGAAGGTGTGAGCACCGCATTCTCATTCTGCGGATCGATGACGGCTTGCTTGAGGGTGTCGATGCTGTGATTGTGGCTCTCGAGAGGTGGTCGAGATGTGACCGGGACCTTCTCTAGAGTCTGCACTCGGCTGTTTGAGCGCGATGGAAAAGCTGGGCTTGGACGGCGTGCGTGAGTCTTGATCGGACTGCCAGTGGAAGCTGTCGCGGCGGGCATTGCGTTTACTGTCTGTGGCTCTGACTGCAGCAATCCTTCACAGAAGCCAACGAGATAGTCGCCCTTGCGGGTTGGGTCAGGAGTGAGACGCTGCAGTCCGGCGTGAAAACCCTCGATCCAAGCACGGGACTTCTTTGAGAAGTCGACGGGCTCTTCGCTTGGCTGTGAAGACGGCACTTCATGCTGCTGTCCGCTTGGATCTTCCTCGATGAAAAGCCACTCGCGCTTGTTCTTTGGGCTGACGTTGTCCGCGTCTCTGTTTGGAATGTCCATCTGACGTTGCTCGTGTATGTTCTCGTTCATGCTCGAAGGCAGCGGTGCTTGGGTAGTTGCATCGCTGTGGAACACCGGCGTGCCTGGTGGTGGCACCTTGCCATTGTAGTCGCCAGTATCCGGTGCCCTAGCCTTCCAGAGCGATGCCTCGTTGGCTTGGCTGGGCGTAAGTGGGTGAGCGCCAGCATTTTCCTTGTCCGATGACTCAGCACGCTGGGGATAGATGTGCTGTCGAGTAGAGTACTCCTGCGTATTGTGTGGAAAGAAGTTAGCAGTCCCCAAGCTAGAGACGCTGGAGCTCTGGAGGTGGGCATCCTTCTTTGAAGGACTGACGGTCTCATCAGTCCCGCTCTTGGCTGGCTGCACATGCTTTTGAAATGAACCCGACGCGGCAGAAAGGGCGGTGGATGAGGACTTTGCAGTTGGTGCGGCTGGAAAGCCAGGCTTGTAGACTGGACTCATTGGGTTCAGTCCTGACTTGGCATTGGCACCCAGTCTGGTATCAGGCGCCTTGATGGAGACGGCGTGACTGCGGGGAGACTCAATGCTGAGGTGTGCCAGCGAGTCGGAGAGTGGCCGCATATTATCTTGAGCGCCGCCCACGTTTCCAACGGCAAGCGAAGCATTTGTGCCCGGGAGTGCTGGTGCTGACGCATATGCTGGGAATGCAGGGCCGGCCATCGAGCCGTCAAAGGGCGGCGGAGCGTACATGCTTGGCGGAGCGACAGCCCAGGCGTTGGCTGCATAGTAGTCCTCAGGAGAGATCGAAGGTCTGCAATGATCTGGTCGGCCAGCAACAAAGGCAGAATAGCTTTGCTGTGGAGCATGGGTACTGGCACCTGGTTGCGACTGAAGAAACGGAGCGAAACTTTGACGGCCAGGTGGCGAGATGGACTGACGAGGGCGCATCGCGCGTGGAGAAGTCGGTGCATTTGGCGGCGGCTTATTCTTCAGCTCCTTCAGCGTCTTGCGAACTTTGTCCATACCTGTGACAAGCTCGCGGCGTCTTGCCACCAAAGCATCCTTTGCGGCTCTGTGCATAGTTCGACCATGGATGACTTCGCTCTTGTCGATCTCCTTGAGCTGGCCCTCAAGCTTGGAATACTCAAGCTCATTTGCAGTGATCTGGGATGCAATGGACGGCTCTGAAGCGATGATGCGCTCGTTCTGATGGGAGCTGATCATGTCGAGCGGACGCTGTACAGGTCCCAAACCGACGGTCGGAGCTCGCATGATATCAAGATTTGGCGCAGGCATGTAAAGCTGCAGAGCACCATCTTGTTCGCGAAGACGCAGCACAGTGCCATTCACGATTTGGCAGAGGTGACCTTGGATGTCTTCTCCGACGGATCCGTCTTGGGTAGCTGGTGTCCACTCCTGACCGCCAGCGCGATGGTTCGGCGCAAATTTGATCAGTCCGCCATTAGCTTTGATGGCGCTATATCCGTATCGTGGGTGGCACAGCGGAGACTGGTCCGATGGCACGATCCTGCCTGGAGGATCGTTAGCAAGCATGTAAGCAAGCATGGTGGCCGACTTGAGATCTGTGGGAGTGTGCTGGTGGCAAAATTCTGCCAAGCCGAAGAATGGTGTGGGTTTCTTACCTCCTGCAGTGACACGCATGTGCTGAGGCGAGCCGTGGGCTTTGACGAGCTCTTCGACCTTCTTCTTCTTGAGCGAAGGCGTTGGGGAAGGACGAAGCTTGAAGTTTCGGCCAACCACGAGTTGACCATTTGGAGCGATCTCGCCGAGAACGCTACCGCTGGCGGGAACGCTGAGGCCGGTTGGACGGGTGATGTCCTCGCCTTGGACGGACAAGTTTTCGATGTTGGATCTGTTCGAAGAGACTCTGAGGGTCGCAGTCGAAGCACGAGATTTCCATGAGCGAGCGGTGAACGATTTCGTGCCGCGCAGAACGTGCTCTGGCTCACTTGTCAGCTCTTGGTGCAATGACAATCCCGCGTCGTGTGTGATGGAGGGAGATTCAAGAAGATTTGCGTAGAAGCGCCTGTCGACGGCGTCTACCTCGTCGTCGTAGTCCATGATGGACGGTGCTCGGGGATGGTGTCGGAAACGTGCAGACAGTCAGGGAAGAAGCGGGTAGCATGGATGCAGAAGTGAGGGGCGAGTCGGAGGTGAGCTTGAAGTGGGCTGGCGGTCAACACTAGGCAGGCTGCAGCCCCACGCCGTTTTTCATGAGATTGGAAGTGAGGTTTGCAGTGCAGTGGCCAATCATACCCTTCACAAGCTCGGCATCCTCCCCGTCGTGCTCCTCGATCGACTCGCCGAGATTGGGCTTCGACTGCGTGCCTCGAAGGCGATGGAGTTCCTCGGCCGAGTAGACGCGGCGAGTCGTCTTGGAGCCGGCCGTGGTCATGATGTGAGAGTGCAGAGGAAGAAGGTCTGGGCAACGGCTCGAGCTTGGCGACGCGGGCAGCAGCGGGCTATTGCAGATGTGGAGCCCTTGCGATGCGGGCTCTGCACTCCGGCTTGCGTTAGTCTGCGGCGCGCGCTGGCTCCCTCTGCATGCACTCACCGACGGCGTTTCTGCGCGCGCTGAGGGAGCGAGGGGGACTGCAGTCGGATGAGTCCAGCTTGGGGAGCAAAAGCGAGCGGTTGAGGGTTATGAAGAAGCTGGGAATGGTCGGGTTGCAATGCGTTGGTGTTTGCGACAGCGAAAGACAAGTGGTATGCGTTGGTTGATGCGTGAGCCAGATGCAAGACAGACAGAGAGTCTTCCAAGTCTTGCACTGCCCCTTGCACTGCCTGCTCTCTGTTCGCCACAAGCGCAGGAGCATCTCGAATTCGATCGTGACGAGAAAGAGATGTCCGCGGCCGGTGCCTGTCACGGTCACTGTCACGCTGGGTCAAGCTTTCTGCTGGGGATACCACGATACCGCCCGTGTGGGGAAGGTACAGTGCTGCACAAATTCTTTCGTTGGTCGATTTTGATTCCGTCCGCCATTCTATATGCTGCAGTGTCGCTGCATGCGACCTGCCCGGCCAAAGGCAGGTCGTGCTCACTCACTGATACGTACCGCATTGGGGTTTAACTGTCCCACTTTGACAGCTGTCCACTGACACAAAAGTTCTACCTCCCGGCCGTTCGTCTTTGCCGCAATCGCTGATGAGTCGGGTTCGGGCGGCGTGGCCGGAACGGATATGAGATATGTCGCCGGTCATCGTTGCACATGTTCATGTCCCCGCTCGAGTATCGTGAATAATATATCCACCGCAGCATATCCTCCCCCAAGAGTCACATCGCGGTTGCATTTCCCCCAACATGCATACAAGTATGCAGATGCCGCCACACATCCCTCCTCATTTGTTCTTGGTCTGCTTGTACATGAAGCGTTTCCGCGTCCTGCTGGGTCAGTCTCGAACATGTCGCAACTGGATCTGCAAGACTTACATGGAGAACTCCCCGAGCTTGTGACCAACCATGTCCTCCGTGATGCGAACATCGTGATATATCTTGCCATTGTAGACCTGGAAGACCAGTCCAACGAAGTTTGGTAGGATCGTGGCGCTTCTCGCCTGGGTCTTGACGGGCGGAGTTCTCTCACCAGGCTTCGCACGCACGATCGGCAAGCTTGAGGCACGTCAGCGAGCATTCTTGAGACGAGACGATACGCGCTGGCGGCGCGAAAGAGTCGGAGGAGCTTACGCTACAATATGGGGCCCTGATAGCACATGTCAGCGCGAGAAGTGCATGGGAAAGGCTCGTATAGCATGAACTCACCCTTCCATACTGATCGCGCCAGCAGCGCACTCGTGGCCTTCATCGCATCGCTCTGTTGTCGATGGCGGTGGGATTGTCGAACAGCGATGAGGTGTCGAGGAAGGTGCGGCCGGGGGTTCCAGAAGAGGCAAGGCCCAAAGCTTGTTTGTGACCCCGGTCCAAATGCACGCGACTCGCGAGCGCGTGCGCGTGCGCGTGTCCCAGGCATCAAACGACGCTCTCCTCCAATCGCCGTGCCTCTGCGTTCATTCATGTTCTCTAGCAAACGCTCGTCCTTTCTTGCGCCTTCTCAATGTCAGATGTTACATAAGAGCCTCGCGTCTCGTCCACCTCCTCCATCACCCTCAACCTGCCCATTTCGGTCTCTGCAATCAGCATGCCGGGCCGAGCGGGCAATGAAGGTATGCATGACAGTCTGTCCAGACCAACCCTTGGAAGACCGAATGGCTCATCTCAAACATACACAGACGGCGACACCATCCGCATCCTCATCACGACCGACAATCATGTCGGCTACAACGAGCGGGACCCGGTTCGGGGCGACGACAGCTGGAAGACTTTCGACGAGATCATGTGCTTGGCGAGAGAGCGTGAAGTCGACATGGTGCTCATGGCCGGTGATCTCTTCCACGAGAACAAGCCGTCCCGCAAAGCCATGTATCAAGTTATGCGAAGCCTGCGCCGGAACTGCTTTGGTGACAAGCCATGCGAGCTGCAAATGTTGAGCGACGGCAGTGAGCATTTCGCTGGGTAATTGCTGCTCCTTTGATGAAAGACGCATGTGCTCACGATTTGTAGATCTTTCAATCACGTCAACTACGAAGATCAGGATCTCAATGTGGCCATCCCAGTCTTCTCCATCCATGGCAACCACGACGATCCATCGGGAGAGGGCCATCTAGCAGCTCTCGACATCCTGTCCGTCTCTGGCCTGATCAACTACTATGGCCGAACTCCCGAGTCGGACAACATCCACGTGAAGCCAGTCCTGCTTCAGAAGGGCAAGACGAAGCTCGCACTGTATGGCATGAGCAATGTCCGCGATGAGCGACTCTTCCGTACCTTTCGAGACGGTCAGGTCAAGTTCTTCCAGCCGAGTCGAGACACTGGAGACTGGTTCAACATCCTGAGTGTTCACCAGAATCATCATGCCTACACCGATACCAACTTCCTGCCAGAGCGCTTTTTGCCAGGTTTCATGGATCTCATCATCTGGGGTCACGAGCACGAATGCAAAATCGATCCGCAGACAAATTCGACGCACGGCTTCAAAGTCATGCAGCCTGGTTCTTCCGTTGCCACATCTTTGGTAAAAGGTGAGGCAGTGGCAAAGCAGGTGGCCATCCTGAGCCTCACAGGTACAGCGTTCCGTACCGAGAATATCAGACTGAAGACAGTGCGTCCCTTCATTATGAGGGAGATCTCGCTCAGCGACTATCCTGAGATTCACGCGCTCGCCTACGAGAAAGAGCACAAGAACGAACTGACAGCATTTCTTGATGTCGTCGTTGACGAGATGATTCAAGAAGCACAACAGCAATGGCACGAGCTACAAGAGGAGGGCGACGAGATGGACGAAGAAGAGCAGCCACCACTACCGCTCATCAGGCTTCGCGTTGAGGCCACGCCACCGGAAGGGGGCAAACCATTTGACTTTCCAAATTCGCAACGCTATTCCGCAACGTTTGCCGACAGAGTCGCCAACGCTAGCGATGTGTTACAGGTGCATCGTAAGCGTGCAGCAGGTACAGGGAAGCGGAGACAGCCGGATGAACCAGACGAGAGGATCCTGCAGCAGACCGAATTTGACTCTGTGGCGGTTGAAAAGCTGGTCAACGAGTATCTTGCTGCACAGTCGCTTCAAGTCTTGCCTTCCAACGCTTTCAGCGATGCGGTCAGTCAATTCGTCAACAAAGATGACAAACATGCCATGGAGCAGTTCTTAATAGATAAACTGGAGGACCAGCAACGCGGACTCGTTGGACCAGCAGACGAAGCCGAGGAAGAAAACGAAGAAGCGTTCGATGAAGAGCAGATCCAACTAGCCATGGAGAAAAACCGTGAAACCCTCGAAGAGCAGCATTCTAGTGGCGTGCGCTCTCGTCGGCGGAGGACAGACATCAACCCAAAGCCAGATGGTTGGGACAGCGATGTTGCAGGGCACTGGGAGGATAGCATCGGCGCGATTAAACATGTCGATGGCGATGCTAATGGCGACGAAGATGATGCTAGTAGCGTCGCTTCTGGGTCACGGCCGGCGCGAGGAAGAGGCAGTCGCGGAGGCAGAGGTGGAAAGACAGCTGCTGGCACCACGCGCAAGACCACTGCTGCTGCGAAGAAGGCGCCTGCGAGCAAGGCTGCCACGGGAAGAGGGAAGAAGAAACAAGTGTCGGAAGACGAAGATGAGGATGTGGTGATGATCAGCGATGACGACGACGATGAGTCGCAAGGACTTTTCGTCACCCAAGACACGCCGCGAGATCCAAGTCCACCCAAGCGAACTGCTGCACGTGGAGGACGAGGTAGAGGCAGAGGTGCTGCCACGACTTCGCGATCTGGCGGCACTCAGTCACAGCTCACCTTCGGCACCCAGGCCATTGGCAGTGGCCGCACAAATGGCAGGGCGACAGCGACGAAATCTGCTGCTTCGAAGCGTCATGAGCCCAGCGAAGACGAGATCAGCGACGATGACGACGCCTTCGAGCCGCCTCCACCTGCGCAGCGCAGTGCTAGGACTGGTAGACGATAGAAGACCGTGGCCTGAGAAGAACTGAAATTGCCTATTGATTTCTGCTAGAGTATCTTCAGCGTAGCACAGCGTGGCGCAGGTTTGGGTTTGAGGTGCGCTGCAATACTTCTTCGACAAACGCAATGGATTTATCAATGGGATATCAACGCGAGTGCAACCTCATTTGGAACGTTTTGCTGAAGTTTTGCCGACCTCTGCTTTCGATTATGATTCGCCCGCTTCCTGGCATGCTTCGAAGCAGTGCTTCTCCATGTGGACGGGTGGTAGTGTATGGCCTTCTTCCTGCTTCCGTTCCGTGAGAGAAGAATGCACGTGCTTCACGGCATCGAGAGCGGGTCCTGTTAACATCACATGCAAACGGACGCAGAATGTGCATGGGCACGGGCACTTGTGGCGCCTCGCGACATCAACAGCTCAACTTCTTCCATTTAAGACTCCTTTCCCGTTATACTTCCAACATCAACTCGCCGTATATCGCGCAAACATGGTGAAGTCGCAACGACACAAGAAGATCGCAAGTAAGAAAGCGAACAAGACACATCAACTGGTCAAGGCGCGAGAGGCCAACGCGCCGAAGCAATGGACTCGAGACGCTTCGTGGCGACTTTCTAAAGAGCCGAAAGCCACCTTTCACCAGGTTATCGATACCTTTGAGCTACTCGAGAACGTACTCAGCCACCTGCCGCCTCAAGATCTCCTGCATGCTCAGGAGGTTTGCTTCAAGATCAAGTCGACCGTCAAGCAGTCACTGAAGCTGCGCCAAAAGCTCTTCTTGGAGCCCGACTACTCGTAAGTACCTCTGCCTGACCTCCCTTGTACTTTACTGCGCGATAGTGAGTTCTGCACATGTAAAAGTGCTCTTGCCCAAGTCTTTTCAATGAAAACTACACCTCCGTTGAGACCTTTGCTGACCACCACGCGTTCCAATCTCAGGTACAAGTCATTATGGCAAGTCAACACCAAGAGACTCAAACGCTACAATTCTCCAATCGAGCACGTTGAACGAGAGTCGAAAGATTTTGTCCCGCCATACACAGGCCCCGAAACACTCTTCCTCCGCCCCACCCTTCCACTAGGCAATATACGCAACCCAATGCTCATCAACCCCTTCATCTTCACTCTGCTCCCAGAGCTGGATTACCCAGACTCCCTCGCCGATCGCATGCTAGCCAAGAGCCGCGTCAGACAAGACTTCCCCGAGAAATTACACCTCCGCTTCGACACAGAACAGCTGCTGTGCGAGTACAGTATCCTCAGTCGAAAATTCATACCATGTTCATCACTCAACCACCATCCCGCTGCATTGCCATCCAATGCAGCTTGCCATGGTGCCGGAACCAATGGTTCATGAAAATCGAGGAACCCACCGGCATCACGATCTCCGATGTAGCGCATGGCTGCAGGCGATTCCCCGATCTTCACGTCGATGACACGAGATGTCTCCGCGAATATGATGCCGGCAAGGGAAAAGTCCCTGTCGAGATTCAGGTCTTTGATGGATTTGCCGTCACACGGGCCGAGCGAGATGTCGTCGATCAGAAGGCTACCTCCAAGATTCATGCACGTCGCGGTGCCCATCGTTGTGTGTACCCTTTTTGTTACGATAGTCCGAGCGATAAGGCTGTCCCGACTCCTTCTGACTCTCAGAGCGGGTTGATTTATCGGGCATAGGGAGATTTATCCCACCCTGTTCAAATCGCGAAGAGCAGCTGGTTGGTTGGGAGGAATCGAAGAATTGAGAACGAAAGAACGGGGAGGCAGGCAGGCAGGCATTGAGATGAATTGAGCACGGCAGGAGAACTTTCGCACAGAACGAAGCACTGAGAATGAAAGAACGAGAGGCGTTCGGGAATTGAAGTGAATTGAGTAAATTCTCTTCTTCTTAGGTTCCGCCCGCCATGTTTGGAAAAGCAATATCTGCTTTACCAGCCTGATGTCGAGAGATGCGCTGCATGGGGCAGAGAGTGTTCTATTCGAATGTCGTTGTGTTGCTGGCGGTCCTTAGCGAGCAGGATCAATATGGGGCTATAGCAGGGTCATGATCGAGGACAGCTTGGCGTGAATGCGATTGATTGGAAGACATGGTAGGATCTGTGGCACCGAACAGGAATGCAAAGTAACGTTAGGGTCATCTGCAGTGCTCTGTACAGCAAACATGTGGACCTGTGCGTAGCCGTCCGTAGTGATGCAACAGTGGAATTGGAAATTTGTAGTGCTGCAGTAAAGTAGTAGATTAGAGATTCTACGGGTTCTGCGAAGAAGAGGTAGCGATGCCAAGAACGCTCGGGCACGTGATCGTGGCCTGAGGCTGCGGCTGGCAGGCTGGATACATCAAGTGCAACGCTGTGCTCACTCGCTCGCTCTGATGTGTGGCTGAACGCAAGAACGCTGGAGATGTCGCTCAAACCCGAAATACAGAATTATTTGACAGACACACCCGGTCGTGTGATGTACTCACTGCCGGCGATCCTGCTGTTCGCGCTGCCTTTGCCGCTCCTGCTGTCGACGCGTCTCTTCCATCTCGCGGATACGTCGCTGCTGTTCGATGAGCAGCATCTGCTGATACCGATAGATGGAGTCGCTGGCACTTTGACTACCGCTGGTCGTCGTGCTTGCACTTGAAGGCTCTGCTTCAGCCCGGCTCCAGTAGGTACCGTCGATCGCAGAGCGTGGTTCATACTGGTTCCATCTTGGTGGTGGCGGTTCCACAGGACTCTGTGGTTGCGATTGTGCATGGCGTCGTTCATCTTGCGCTGCTTGTCGTCGAAGCCGATTCTGTTCTTCCAAGTGCGCCAATTGGTTTGTGTAATCTGTCCGTGCCTCGGTGCCCAACGGCTGGAATCCATTCGTTTGCCCTTGCCCAGTGTTGAGTGGAGAAAGGCCATTACTTGTGCTGTAGTCAGTCATGCGTGGTTCGTTCGACGTGAGTGAGCATACCTCAAAGCATTTCTAGTCCCATTCGATCGGCCAGTACCTCCGTTGGTGCGACGGTTAGGATCTGCCATCAAGAGTTGTATCGACATCTGTGCTTTTTCAATAATCGACTATGCAGCCGAGTGGTATGTAATGTGATCTGAAGAAAGACCGGGCGGAGCTTCAATTTTCAGTCAGACATCGCTGAATACCATCAGACCGCAAGGCCAGGCCAGGCCAACACACCACGTTCGGTGCCGATCAAAGTAAGTGGGCAAGCAGACGAATGCGAGAGTCAACGCTGACCTACTTCAGTATGCACGCTGTTCCCCGTTCGCAGCCCTGTGCCCTATTACTTCTATGCCCTATTAGCTCTATGGGACTCTTAGCGCTTTTGTCCAATCGTGGCGGCGGCTTGAATCCTTCCCGTCGACGAAATCCTAGGGTGGGGCCAATGATGAGAAGAGCATCGAGGGCTAAGCTCCACGTGCAGCACCTCAATGCACAAGTGATCAGAACTCCGCAAGACTGATGAGATAGAGACTTTGACTGGTCGCTTGATGCTGCTGTTCGAGAATGGCTACCATGCGAACAAATGGCAAGATGTCTACGTCCGCAGCGCGATCTACGAGGCATCAGAACAGTGTTGGAGACACGAGAGCACCTTCGAGGGGAAGCAAGCTGAGGACTTCGGCCGATGCTGGGCTTTCGTACCGTAGTGCTGCCAGCTCGCAACTGAGCACATGCTCTTTCTGAAGCGCCAAAATGGCGATCTTCGCACGAGTAGGGGAGTTCGCCAGCTGGTACAGGCGCGACCATTGAGTCCAGGCGAGCCCTAACAGCTCGCTCCCTGTGCTGGCAGGTGTGCATGCCACGGATGCCAGTCGCCAAAAGTCATGTCTTCGAAGGCTGACAGGCACGAAATATCGTGCTGCGCATGACAACCTTGAAGTGATCATGCTATCGGATCCCTGTTCCACGCGTGGTACGCCGTACGTCAGGCATTCGATGTGAGCGTGAGCGTGCCCTCCCGCCGAATCCTTCCAGCCCTGCTCCTGAGAATCTGAGCCTCTGCTGAGATCTCGCGCGTCGGACGAGCTGGCCGGAGACCGGGCGACTGATGATGCCTTAGTTCTAGCATGTCCAGTGTTCGCTGCGCACTCTCGGCCACCGCACTATACTGATGTGCTGGGCAGGTGGCTCAAATACCATCATGCTATGTTGCACTGCAACCTCCATGCTGGAGCACTAGATGGAGGTTTCCGTTTCCCCAATTCTTCCTGTTTCTCGAGATTTCCGGTTTGCTAGAAGATTGTATTTGGCGTGTTTCCCAGTTTAACTTGTTCCTTGATGGCAATATTTGCCTATGGTACTCGGGAAAACAAAATGATCCGGGCAGTGCTACGTTTAGATCACTCGTGTCCTCCGCGACCAAGTCGTGCATATAGAATAGCTGGCGGGCGCGATAACTTGAAGGGTGGCAGATCATGTATAGAGAGAGCCAAGCATATACAGTTGAAAGCAGAGACAACTTTCCCGTTCGTGGGGGGAGTAGAGCATAGCATGCGATATACTACCCACCTTCTGCTCTCCGAGGTGGGTGAGGAGGCAGCTCGCGCCAAACCCGGCCGAGAAAAGCGCGATCCCTTCGGCGTCGACCACACATGTTGCTGGTGCACCGTATTCACCTCACCGGCGCGCCCAGCATCCCAGCGACACGCTCTTCCGCCGACAGGCTGTCCCAATCGTGCAGAAGACATCACGAACGGCGTCGGCGTCGGCGTCGGCGTCGAAATTGAGCTGCGCGAACTGAGCTCAAACTCATCTTCACGTGCATCATCTTCACGAGCTGGTGGCGCAAGTGAAGGCGCACAGCAGCCGCCGCAGCAGCCGCCATGGACCACGATGCAAAGCCTTCTTTCCCTACCGAAGCCTCCGCAGGCACATCTTCGAACTCGCCGAACGCCAACGCCAATTCTGCCAGCAATACCGCGTCACAGCCTCGACCTGAAGATCCCGCACTTGATTCCAAGCAGGAGCGCGACCTCGACGCCGAGATTGCCCGAGCCGACAGCATGAACGAACAGAACGCTGCTTCAACGGCGCAACCGGCGGCCGAACCATCCAACGGGCTGCCCAACATTGCCAACATTCCTGCCGTCGTCGAGCCGCGCATACCACAGAAGAAGGATACCAGCTTGCGCGAGTTCCTTGGCAAGATGGACGACTATGCGCCGCTTATTCCCGACGCCGTCACTGACTACTATCTCACACTTGCCGGCCTACCTCCACCACCAGAAACAGATCGCCGACTCGCACGCTTGCTGGCACTAGCGACGCAGAAATTCATAGCCGACATCGCAAGCGACGCTTACCAGTACAGTCGCATACGAAGCACGAATACCACATCAAACAACCCACTTACCGGACTCGGAGGTGCCGCGGGTATCAGCATGGGAGGTGCCGGCGACGAAGGTACAGGAAAGGGCAAGAAGGATGCGGGAAAGAGTGCACCGCTTGGTGGACCACGAGCAGGTTACGGCGGCGGAGGCGCAGCTGGCGGCCAAGGACGGACTGTCCTTACTATGGAAGATCTGGGCATGGCTGTGGGAGAGTATGGTGTCAATGTCAAGAGAGGTGAATTTTATAGATAGGCGGGCAGGCTGCTTATCATACTGTTACTGTGACATGGATCGGCGAATGGGCTTCTTAGCTGTCACGAGATGAATCGGAGTCTGAACAAGGCTCGGAAGGGAAGCGGCGTTTGGTAGGGGTTTGCATATTCCGGCGTAAAAGACATCACTGGGCACGATTCTCGGCCGGCGAGCCTTGGGAACTGCCGAGATATGAATTTTGGAATGCTCGAGCCTAGCTTTGATAGCAGGCTGGCGAGCTCTGTAACAGTACAAAGTAGCAATCTATGTACTATCAAAAATTATTGCATACCGGCCGCCCTCTCTGGAGCAACGTCCGAGCGAGTGGGGTCCAAACCTAGATGGAAGTTCAGCCTGATCAACACTACGACCATGGCGGAGCTTACATTAGAATATGGATCTACATGTTCCTGGCGAAGTCTACGTTGATCTGGACAAGCAGGAGTGTCAGGTGCGTCTCGACATCGTCGATGTTGGTGAAGGCCAGCTACCCGTGGTTCATGCCCATATCCCATGCTCTCTTCGAGTCTTCGACTTCCAGCTCTCGATAAAGACCGCGCTCAAGCCAGACCAAGAATTCGTCCAGCCGAAACAGTGATAGTTGTATCTCCGATTCTCCATAAAGATAGCATCTTAAAGCTTGATGAAGGTTATCCGCACGCTTTTGAAGTTTATAAAAGCCGGTATCTCAGTACGCCAGGGCTAGTTACAACAGCAACGGATCCAATTCAACCTTGGAAAGTACCAGGTACTTGCATTCGGATTAGCAACCAACTCTTCGCATCCTGTATACAGCCAGCAAGATTCCTAGCGAAAATGACGGGAGTTAGGGCTCAGGGAAAGTGGTCAAGGATAGATATCTATTAATAAATGAAGTCTATCCTATTCTAGTGTAAGCTTTATTCCTACTAACATACCACCATTGCTTTCCCGGATGCGACTACAATGTGTTGGTCTCGATAGTTGGTCTATAGAGGGTTGGTGAAAGGTGGCCGGTTGGTAACTGATCACTGTATAAAAAACAATCTCATTGCCCGATAGTTGGTCCATAACACAACCTCACCTCTACACTCAACATCGTGAAATCCACAGCAAGAACTCCTACACCCAACATCGGTAAATCTACAGCAAGAACACAACACCTACACTATGCGATCTACACTTACCTTCGCTATCGCCATCGCTCTCGCCTTAACCGCCTCGGCATATGATGCTGGAGTTGCATGTGATTGCCATCAAATCTTTACATGCAGAAAGGACCAACGGTGGGGATGTTTAGTCAGTAACGCCGACCATAAGCCATACTGTGTGAATCAGATTGACGATCCGCATTACTGTGGGCACTCGTGCCTTGCAAACGGATATGGGTATGCCTACAAGAAAACAGAGTAAGTGGCGCGTCTACGAATACTTTTTTCCACTAGGTAGTTCCTAACATGCGATCTTATAGCTCAACCAGTAACGCATGTATGTGCAGCAATGATGATGCTAGCAGATACCAAGGGGAATGTACAGGCTAGGTTAGAGGCCGGGGGCAAACCAAACCACCTGGCAATTGGTACTGGTTGAAGGGGAAAAAAGATTCGGGCGCCGGCTGTTACTGTCAAGGAAGGTGGGCTGCGAGGTGTGTTTGAGGGGTTGGAGGATATGAAGAATGGGAGGGAGGGTTTCGAGGCAGAAGTTGGGTTATCGGATGGAGGGGAAGATATTCTACGGCATCTGCTTGTGAAAGATCAGCTTGAAGAGACCACCACATACCTTCTTCCTTTCGGAAAATCCATCTCAAAATCCATGTCCAAGTCACCTTTTCATCTTCGCTAGCATGTATGTATCAAAGGGACACATATAGCGACGAGGATGCGAAATGTTCGCCGGGGTTTATTATTAGTTCAATATAAAGATGCGCTTAGAACTAACCATAAAAATTCCTATCAGGCCTCTGATTGGAAGAAAAATAAAATAAAATCACGTGCCACAAAAGAAGTATTGGCCTGAGTACCTAATTAGAACGGCAGACAGGCACCAAATTCGGACGGTTCTTCTACTTATAGGCCTTTACGGTACTTTATACTGACATTGACTCAAGATACACGGCTTGCTCCGCTCCCGCGCCTGCCAGCTAGCCTAGGTAGCCATAGACTTGGAACCTGGAAGGCATTCAAATCTCCAGAAAACTGCTGGACAGATTCCCGGGCTGGAAGCCGCTGTGTCCTTGGCGATCATGCTGCAAATCGTTCCAGGCCAGCCAAAACGACATTGTGCAAGGCCTCGTTCCGCCATATCAACCCCGGTTCGCGAGCGTTAGCAACCATGGTGTCATCCACAGAGGAGAAGAGCGACCCACTTCACTTCTGCAATTCAAAGAGTTGGACTTTGAGATCATAGAAGACGATGAAGTGCTTGATGAAGAAGCAACGGATGGATTTGATGAAGGGGCATACTATCCCGTGAGCATTGGACAGGTATTTGACGCGAGATATCAGGTAGTTGGCAAACTTGGCTATGGTGCCACCTCGACTGTTTGGCTCGCGCGTGGCATTCAGTAGGTAGGCTTTCATGTGAGATCCTGAAACCCCTATTGACTGATCAATGAGATAGGAAGCACAGCTTCGTCACCCTGAAAATCTATACGCGGCACCCGGACAATGAGGATGAGGTCAAGATGTACCAATATCTCAGTACCTGCAAGACAGCATCACATCCGGGCTCTTCGTGCATCAGAACGGCCTTCGAAACCTTCGAGATTCCCCGGTCCGGTGGACCACATCACGGTATTGTTCAGATACCCCTTTGGGACAGCATCGAAAATCTGGTGGCCAGGAATGGCACTCACCAAGCTTCAGCGGAGCTTCTCAAGCCTTTGTCGAGATATGTCTTTCTCGCTCTAGATTACATCCACACGGAATGCCACGTCATACACACTGGTGAGTGGCAATCGCGAAATCCAATCTGCAACCTGAAAGTCATCGATGCTAACACGAATATGCGTCGTAGATATTAAAGCGGACAACATCCTTCAGACCATTGAAGATGATTCGATTTTACAATCATTCGTACAAGCTGGGCTTGGACATCCTTCCCCTCGTAAATCCGTCGGGGATAAGACAGTCTACCTGTCAAGAAGCTTTGATCTACCGAAGACGTTCGGGAATCCTGTTTTGTCGGATTTCGGCGCGGCGGTTCGAGGCGATATAGAGCACGATGTGTTTGTACAGCCCGAAGCATACAGATCCCCAGAAGTCGCGATGGAAATGGAGTGGAGTTATCCGATCGATATATGGAACGTCGGATGCATGGTAAGTCGCAAGGATAAAGAGTTGTTCGTACAGTTCATCAGGTCCATGTTGCAGTGGAAACCTGAAGACCGCAAGACTGCTCGGGAACTTTTGGAAGATCCATGGTTGAACGGCACTGGATGATTCAGTGACAATTGTGACCATTGTGAAGAGGGCAAGGAAGTGCGGATAGCACACGTGAAAGCCCCGTGCGAAGGGAGAAGAAATTCGGGGCTGCGCATTGCATACAAGACTCCAGGCCATCGGATCCCTTGCTACGCGTATACTCGACGAGCACATAGCTGCTTTAGCTCAGGCTTGGGAACTTTCTCGCGCGCAAAGTAGGAAGCCAGTAAGAACATCAAAAATTAACTTCATGAAGAGGGTTGGCATGGCTACATTCAGTCATATTCAGCGGCGTCTCAGCTCATGGCCGCAGGTGCAGGTTGGAATTGCGGCTGAGCCTGATCGTCTGTTGCACAAGGCAATGCAGATGCATGCCAGCACTGTACTGTATAAATGAGAGCTATTCAGCTTTCGCACCTTGTATGATGTGCTTTCGCGTGGTCCGAGTTTCATGTGAGCGTGAAGGCACTGCCGGGATTCCAAAATCATACCAAGGCCCACAGAAGCTGATAGGACAGAGTGTTTGTTGACAGGCGCTGGCGTGGCATTGAGTGGTGTAAGAAAGGAAGTCAAGATGGGGATGGAGAGAGACGTCGCGAAGAAGTGGCGACCAATCCGAGAGCGAAAAGTCAGCTTTTGCACGTGACCTGTGTATCCACTTTCAACCACAAGCAGAAGACTTGGCTTAGTCTCTGCCATATGCTCGAACATTGTGAGATTCGGACTGCTCTCCCTGCCGACTTGAAAAATCCGCTTGATGAGGTCTGCTAGTGGGCATTGGCAATATCGATCTCACATGGCGAACGAGCTCTGAAAACACTGGATCTGCGCGCTCACGCCTCTCGCGGGCTCTCAAAGACAAGCTCACTGACCGGGAGAGGTATTGTCATATGGGCCCGGCAAATTTTGAGTAGAGGTAGGTGGAAGATTTGATGGCCACTGCTGCGCCTAACAATGTGCGGAAGCTGCGCGTTCCACGCAGGACACCAAGAGCGTGAGTCGCCGAACAGTGGCAGAGCTTTTCTCGCGCGTCTGCTAACGCTCTCAGTTGCCAGCAATGCCGTGCTGGGAAGGTCCGATGCTCAGGCGAGCATCCGTGTACGCGATGCGTGCGACGACGTGACAACTGCACCTTTCCTTCCGACGAGCCGCATATATCAGTGCCAGAAAGGTCAGTCTTCAGCAAAACCCCGATAGCCTACACGTGACTGACTCTCCTTCTGTAGCTATCTAGCCGAGTTGGAAAGGCAAGCAGCGGCTACTGCAGCAACGAGGTCTCCATCGTTTCAGCTACAATCACCGCCAAGCAATGTCCACTCACGACCGGCCACGGCTCCGACACCTCGTCACCATAGCTTTGGGTCTGGCGATCGACAGCCCGCTCAGCGAGAGGCCGGGGCTCACTCAACGACTCCGACCAAGTCAGCTTTGTCTCCCACGATAAGCAGAATACCAGATGTCGAAACTGCAAAGGCAGCCACAGTCGGCCCGTGGACCCCACGAAATCCACTGATCGAGACACAATTCCTCAAGGATCACACTGGTAGGCATCGTTTCCTGGGACCAACTTCGACATGGGCATTCACTAGGCGCCTCACATTTCTGCTTGAGCAGTATGAGCCGCAACAAGAAGCGACGTTGTCTCCATTTTTCATGGATGGAGCAGCATTCCACCTGAAATGGGCTGCCAAGCCTACCATAGAACGTTCAGATCTTCAAGGTCTGCCTCCCAAGAATTACGTGGAGTACATATACTCGACTGTCAAGTTCCAGCTAGGCGACTTATTCTCCATGGTTGATGAGCAAAGCTTCTTGCAGAACTGGCGGGCATTCCAAGAAGATCCTTGGAATACCGTGCAACAGCATCGCCTATGGTTCGTAGAGTATCTCTTGTTCCTCGCCTTTGGCAAAGCTTTCCTCGGAGAATCGGATGGGTCGAATGCACCGAAAGGTCATGAGTTCGCGGCTCGTGCCATGTCTCTGCTCCCAGGCCCGTTCGAAATGCACCAGGAAGAGCTTCTTGCAATCGAGGTCCTCGCTCTCGTGGCATTGTATTTCCAGTCGATTGATATGCGAATCATAGCGTATCAGTATATTGGCCAGGCTGTTCGACTATGCGGAGTAGAAGGAATACACCACGACATGCCTGATGCGTTGGTCGGGAGGCAGAAGTCTGCCAGAGCAAACTTACTATGGTGGAATGTCTACAACCTGGACAGGTACTTCTCTGCTCTGATGGGCTGCTCCAATTCCATCTCGGACGAGCAGGTATCCGCAGAGATGCCGTCGGTAAAGGACAAATCGCTGTATGCCACGGCACTCACCCTGCAGATCAGTCTATCAAAGCTGGTTGCCAAGACTTGTACGACAGTATATCATGTCAGCGGCGAAGGCTTGGGCGGTGACTATGTCAAGAACACGACTATCATCTTGCACGCTCTTGCAGAAGTGTCGCAGGAGCTGGAAGCTGTCATGCCCAACTTTTCGAAGGAGACGCCGACAGACTTCCCGCAAGTCTTCTCTCATGTGACTCTCTCCTACCACCACTGCATCGTGCTCGCGACCAGACCACTGATCGCGTGGTTATTGCTGCTCGCCCTGCCTCCAGCCTCGACTGATCTCCAGAACTTGGCGTCACCGATCGCTGCGCTACTCCAGACCTCAGCAGAATCAGCATTGTCGATTCTTGCAGTGCTTTACAAATTCGCAGGCAACGACCTTCTTGAGACCTTCTTGCCTTTTCATCTGGAGTTCGCCTTCTCGGCAACCCTACTATTATCCGTTCTCGACGCGATTCTGCCTGAACATGTGCCAGATCGTGCGTGGCAGCGCTTAGCAGAAGGAGTGTTGCAAAAAATGCAGAAGAAAGGCAACATTGTCGTGCCACTCCGTATGGCAGAGTTGCGGCGCCTGGAAGAGCTGCTCAACCAGCACAGACGCCCTCCTCCGCCGCCTCCAGCAAACCTCGCGATTCCGCCCGGGGATGCGCTTCACGGTGACGGCATCATGATTAACCCTGGCGAATTGCCCAGTGTTGGTGAGAACGCTGGCTTGGACGGCAGCTTCGATTTCGATACGCCGTCGTCTTGGGATGTGCTTTTCGGTGCTTGGCCTCCGACTAATAGTGAGCAAATTTTGGAGCTGGCGGATGAGCTTGACTTGGGCGATTTCAATGCGCCTATGTATTTCCAAAATTGAGCTTCAGCAGAGTCTCATGCGTGCTCGCGAAGTCAGCGACAATTATGAATATGGTCCGCAAATCTATCACCGATCCGCACTTCAGTTGATCTCGGCCCTAGCAGATCTTATTTTCTTCTTAAGTCTTTTTCTATCTCTTTCAAAGTATAGAATAAGATGAATAGTTACTTAAAGCTCTTCTAAAGTATTTCTACAATTTACGAAGAGAGGGTAGTACTCATATAAAGCTTTTTTTAGTATAGAAGTGAATGTACATAAGGCATTGGAATTCGCGTTGTTATAGTTTAAAACCATGGAAAATTGGGGCTGGATTATTGCCAAATGATCGGCTTTTACCGTCACCGTCACCGAGCAGCCGTGCTAGTTCGAATGGACTAAATGCCTTAGCATTCTATACTCGGGACTGTGAAAGACCTTGATGAAGATCTATTCGGCAGTCGCGTTGCATAGGATGGACAGAACGCTGGTTTCAGTGATATTGGCTGCAAGGGAGGTGAAGTTTTCGCATGCGTTTCTTAAGTTGAGCAGATGTAGAGTACCTACAGCAGAAGCTGTTCGACGCGCTTGTTGGCGAGAGCATTGATGCTAACCATGCAGCTTCGAAGAAGTGTACCGTTGCTACAAGAACCCGATCAAGGTATCCAACATCTCTTCGGTATCTTCGTCGCCTCCTTCAAGACCTTGCTTTTGTTCTGCCAACGAAGTTCTGATCACAGCGAGTCCACCTTCGAGTTCTTTTGAGACTTTCGTCCTCACTTCCGGGTCTTCTGCTACCAGCCAGGCAAGAGTTACATCAGTCATCTGCAAGCAGAAAAGTCCACCATCCAGACGCCTTGAGAAAAATTCGGCTTCGCGTTCCTCAATTTCGTCGTCTGAAAGCGTTTTTTGCTCCAATCTGATCTCTTTGTCTGCAGCAGCGACTCTCCGTGCATAGTCGCTGCGCAGTTGCAATAATCTTGTGATCTTCTCGTGCTTTTTCTCAGTAAACTTCGCCAGCGTCCTGATCCGCGCCGCAGACTCGCCGGGAAGTAGTCGAAGTAGAGCTGAGAATATGCCGAGTAGATGCTCGATATTCGCGAGGTCTTTGCTCTTCATGAACATGCTGAAGGTTGTCTTCAGTCCTGCGGCTTCAACGATCTTCTCGCACACCTGGGAAGATGCGAGTCCTTGGCCATTTGTTGCATGGTCCAGCACTCGAAGCCCTCGTTGCGATATGGTTTTTGTGCCTTCCTTGAGCATTATGAGCATTAGCTCGACGCCTTCGGCTTCGACGAACTTTGTCTTGCCCTCTGCTTCGTCCACAACGCACGTAAGCGCATCAAAGAGATTTTCGACATACTCTTCTTCCGAGCTATCTTTCTGTGGATCCCGTTTCCGATATGCTGCCAGCAATTGGAGGAAGAGGTCAATACCATCAATATCGATAGCTAGCCGTTTTCGTAGCAGGGATGATGACTGAAGCAGAACCTGCAGCACCTCCGCCGCGTACTGTTTATTCTGGCCGACGGGCTTCTCGGCCGATTTGATTCGATTGCACAGCCACATCAAAACCTTTTCCGTGCCAATCTTCTCTGCGATCGTCTGCTGTCCTGCCAGACTCTCCATCACAGAAAGACTGTGATAAACACCACTCCGATCACTTTCAATTTTTTCGTTAAGGCGTCCAAGATTACTCATGAGCAGATCCATAAGATCAGCATCGAGCAATGCGGACACTAACACATCCCACTGCTCTTGCTCAGCTTCAACATCCTCGTCAAGCAGCTCAGAGATAATCTCAATCGCTCCTATCGCAATGTCCGTGTTGTCGTGAGCCAGTAACCCAACCAAGCTTGCGACACTCCCACTTTCCGCAAATTCAGGATACAATTCTGGGTGCTCACCCAACAAACTCCAGCTCTTGATCTCAGCGTCCAAGTCTGCTTCGCTCCCCATGAATTTCGCCGGATCCGTCTCAAATTTTGCCCGCAATTCCGCATTCTTGCTGACCTTCTTCTCAAACGTGTTCGCTAGTCGCCTTAGCCATGCAGAGTCGATCTTCTCCTCCGTATAGGTTTCTCCATCTTGTTCATTGATGTAGTCGAGAGCTTCTGCTGCATCGCGGGTCACTCCGCTGCCAAAGAATCTTCCATCTTCGTCGTCACCATCGTCGTCTTCGGGAGGGAGTTCAGGTCCAGCTTCGAGGTCATCATCGTCCTCTGCGTCTTCTACTGAAGCGCCATTTCCATGCGGTGATGAACCGTCGGAGAGTTTGCTCGCTTTGTAGACTTCTTGGGCGTTCGGCTCTTCGAATTTGCGCTTGTTGGAGCCAAGGGGAAGATTGGGCTTCTTGAAGAGCTCGTCGACGGATGTCATGGTTTTAAGGCGTTACGTAGCGAGAAGGTGATTTGCATGTGAAATGTTTCTTCGCGAAGTTGTGATGAAGCTTTGGGCGGAATTAGGTCCGTCCTGGTTCGAGGTTCCCTGCAGCTTCACCCTCAGCTAGTCTCAGGGGACGCTCAGACCACCTCGCGTAGGGGGCCAATCAAGCGCTCCTCGGGCTCACCAAGATTGCATCCTCACTCTATTCTATCTACCTACCTCACTACACCCTGAACGTATTCTATTCTGCTCCTATGCTAACAGAGCATGTCCCACTCCACAAGCGAAAACCGAACCGATCTTCTGTACCCATATTGATTTGAGCTTCCAGGGCTCCCTGGACCTCAGACCTCGGAGACGTGTTGGAACTTGGAAGCTATCCTCCCTGACTCTGGATAACTCGACATCATGAGCTTTCCTCAAAACAAAGCCGAAGCCGGTCACAGCTACTTAAGTTCGCTTACGGGCCCGGATTCAGGTTCGGCAACGATGGGTGCGGGATCGATGGAAAGCTCGAGAGCCCGAGCACCCACGCCGGTCACGGCAATGGCCGGTGAGATACCTGCCTAGCTTTGCCGGAATCTCATCGGCTCTGCGTGTACATCATCAAACGACAATACTCGTGCGGGGAATTACAGCTTCAAATACTGTGAGATGCAGCAAGTACCGTTTTGAAGACTCAACAACGCACAGTGCTAGACGAATCACATCGCAAGCTGGAGCTTGTCCGGTCCTTGCTCGCCAAGTCTCGCCCAATGTCGCCATGCCTTTCAGTGTCTTGCCCCCGACAAAGTTTAATCATACTGTAACTCTCGCGGTTCACCCGAGACCTGTCGACAAATAGAGTCACTGCTCTAGCTATCATGAAGAACGTCACTCCTCTTTTGGACATAATATGCCAATGCCATTAATAGACGTACAGCCCATAAACCTCGAACCGCTCTGCACTCCGTGGCCGTTTTTTGACGTACTTGTTCACAAAGAAGCCAGCGTTGAAACAGCCAGATCCAACTAAGATATGACAGTCAGTGGCCATGCTTCACCGGCAGCTATATACGCCGTTGTATTTACGGCAACAATATTCGCCATTTTTGCAGTGGCTGTGAGACTTTACACCCGCCTCAAGATCGTCAGGAGAATATGGTGGGACGATATACTCATGGCGCTGGCCATCTTCTTCACGTGCATCTTCACAGCAGTCATCGCTGTAGAGAGTGAGTTCTTTCCGACACACAAGCAATATGACAAGTGCTGATGCTATGGAGCACATTTTGGCTTCGGAAAACATTCAGCGAGCCTAAACACAGAGCAGAAGTCGAATAGGTTGCTCTGTTTCTGGCTGAGCGTGTACTTTTACCAGATTGGGATCGGTCTGGCAAAATTGTCCATCGTGAGTATCGTGTTACGATTTCAAAGATCTCGATGCTGAGAATCTTTGATACGTTCTGCAGATTGCTCAGTGCGTCCGAGTATTCGAATCGATCCGGACGTTTCGCTTTGTCGCATCGTTTCTTGGGCTTGTCGTGACAGGGTACACAATCACGACCTGCTTCGTGACGCTGTTCTTGTGTAAGCCAATCTCATATTTCTGGCATCCGGAAAGATCAGGACATTGTCTCCCTACAAATCCAATATGGTAAGTTCCAAATTCGTCACCGCTTGCGACCAATTGCCAATTGACGTGCGTTGGTCAGGTTCTTCAACACCACCTTCAGCATAGCAACAGATATCGCCGTCGCGCTTCTGCCGCTTCCAGTCGTAAACACTCTGCATTTACCGAAAAGGCAGAAACAAATGCTGATGGCCGTCTTTGCTCTCGGAGGATCTGTATGCTTGATCAGCCTCATCCGTCTTTACAGCCTCTATGTTGTAACTCACAACCATGACGACACTTGGGAAGATCCTCAGGCCTCTATCTATTCCAGCATCGAGACGTTGGTCGCCATCATAGCCGGCTGTCTGCCGACGTACCATGCATTCTTGGCCAAACGCTTCCCGGGACTGCATCAACGATACGCAATGCATGGAAATGTGACCCAGGCTTTGCCCTCTCTGGACATCGATGTTGCGTTTCCCATTGATCAAACGACTCCACGAGCCGAGAGCGTCTCCAGGGATACGATGACGAGAGATAGCGGGAGCATAGATAAGCCCGCTGCGAAGTCTGGACATATCTCGCAAGAAACGACAGTGGGTCTGGGATTAGCCCGGAACGAGATGGAGTCTTCTGGCGAGAGGTCCGATCAAGATTGCGAGAAGGCATGGCTTGAAGCCGTACACGATGATGACAGCGTCACCAAGGCTGAGCGAAGGCCGTCTTGACGCTCAGGCGTGCATTTTGAACACGCAACGTAACAGGGATTCAGTGGAAGGATCTATTTAAGTGGTTTGGTAGCGAGCAAAGCCGATTGTGCTTTTGTGAAGCAGTGTTTTACAATCAGTGCACATTGGCTGGACGGCAGTGCGAGCATAGAACAGTTTGATTTGGCTATCATTTCTTGGCGTCATCTCTAAGAGAGCGCTCGCTTCGAGAAAGATGGATCTTGGGTACCAGACTAGATTGCTCAAAGGTATTGTCGCAACACAGGCTACGAGGCTGCTCTGAGAAGTGAGGCAGCCTCGTGTGATTCTATTATGGCTTAGTGCTTGTACTAGGTTTTGCAGAATACGTGAGAATGCCAAGAATAGCGGCTCCGCAGCAGCTATCTATACAGTTTGCTAGGTATAATGCTCCTCTTTTGCTCCTATAGACTTTAAATAGTATCCTTATACTACTAGAAGCTAGAATGTCTATTATTATCTAGTTACCGCCCGAGTTAGCAAGTGCTATATATATCTATACTACTAGTTACCTCTTAAAGTAGTATTTCGAGATGCCGCTAGTCTAGTAAACAGTACCGCCGCGTAAGACTTAATCGTAGAAACTAGTATCGAAGGAGTTGCTAGCGTATAAAGAAGCTATTATAAGACGCGAGTCGCCGAAGAAAGATAGAAACGTAAAGAAGGGCGCGAAGAAGAAGATAGTAGCGTAGGCGCTTTAAGAGTTAATAAATTCGCTAGCAAATAATACTAATACGTACCGGCGGTTCGCGTAGTAGTAAAAGGATAATAAGGACGCCTCGATAGCTATAGAAGTTAATATAGGTAATTAAGTTAAAGAAGGCGAGTTAACGCGACTTAGTAATATAGCGCCTACGCCTACGCCTATACTGTAGCGACTAGTTAATAGAGCTTAGATAGATAAGGACGATATTAAGACTGCCTTAGCCGACTTGCGTAACGGCTTCTTATATAAATAGACCTAGAAGCTTCTTACTAGCAAGAATATTATCTTAGTAAAGAATTTCGACCGTACTAGCTAGAGCGCTTACTATAGCGATAAGGCCTATCGCTAGGCTATCGATACTACGAGGAAAGAAGGCCTCTTCGTCGGTCGTAGCTTTATTATTATTATAGTAGCGAAGGTTACGATAAAAGACGAGTTTAGATAAGACTTCGAGATAGGTATACGGCTAATCCCGCGCCTCGATTTCTAGTTAAGTACTAACTCTTCTATATAGTCTAAGACTATATAAAAGCGCTCTCGGAGGGACTTAAATATTATCGTAAAGGCAAGGACAAGATCCGCGTAGATATAGAGTTCCTTACTACTATAAAGGATATACCTACCGCTACTCCGAAGGTTAGCAAACTAAAGCCTAACGATTAATAGCTTATCGAAAGAGAGGCGTTTATTACTAAACGTCGTAACTTCGGTAATCGAGCCTATAAGATTAAAGCGGACAATATATACACTCTTAGCGGCTATAATAATAAAAGTAAATAGTGCTATCTTCCTCCTAATCTTCCAAATATCCCTAGGCATTATTTATAGCTCTCGAATGCCTCCTTTAGCTTATAGTCTTTAGCTTAGAATAGTAGATAGCTAGGCGTTAACTCTAAGACCCTATTAAAGGCCGCTTTTAATTAGATAAAGATATATAACGAGAATATAAAGAAATATAAGAAGAAGGAGCCTATAATACTCTAGCCGCTAGATTAGACTCTTTATCGTTCTCGCTCTATACTAGCTTCCTTCTAATAGGCCGCTATTAATTACTAAAAGCTTCTCGAGACCGCCTTTAGCCTAGCTACTAGCTTTGCTAATAAGCTAACTGCTACTACTATTATCGAAGAAGCAAGTTCTTATTCTTAGCAAGAATCTCTAGCTCCTATAAGGATTGCTACTATACTCGGAATACCGCTAAGAAGTCTTCTTAGATAGTTCTTTAAGTAGGTAGCAAAGTAGCTAGAGTAGCTTAAGGAAGAAGATAAGGAATAGCTTATAAAGATAGAAGATTACTTTATAAAGGAGCGATATAATTATAATTAGATCTATATACTATCGATAAAGACTTAGAAGGAGTTAGGCTTCTTTAAAGGCGACTATAGGTCTATAAGAGATAGCTTAAAGCGCTTTTAGAAGCAGAAGTTAGCCGAGAGAAACTGCTAATAGCAATAGCTAATAATAATAATATTTATAACGGAGTAGCGGGCGTACTTATATATCGAGATTAACTAGTAGTTTCTTAGCAAACTAATAACTTGTTTACTTAGTTATCTCTCCGCTAGGTATACTATAATTGTCGTTATTTGCTTCGAGAAGTTCTTCCGAAACCTCCGCAATTTGCTTTATATAAAAAGCGGGAGTACCCGCTATACTATTAGAAGCCTCTCCTATAGTCTTATACTACTATATCGCGATAGATATATATAAAACTTTATACGGAGCTTTAGATATATACTAAGAAGGAGCTTGCTAATTTTTATAGTATAATATCTATATATTATAGTACTATACTAGCAGAGTATTAAAGCCGTGTATTATATTATCTAGCTATAATCTATTAACGTCGTATCCGCTATATTTGAATAGTTTCCTTATATCTACGCCTATAATATAGTCTAATACCTAGTATAAGAAGTCGGCAAAGTTAGCGTACTTATTTATACGACTTTTGTTCTTTTTTATCTATATTTTAAGGATATTAAAGGTCTATTCTATCGGATTCAAATCTAGCGAATATAGCGGCAAGTATTCGAGTCTATAGCCTACTAACGTAATAATACTCTCGACTTTGTCGCTATAGTAGATTAAACAGTTATCTATAACAAAGATTATCTTAAGGCCTTTAAGAAGCGGCAAAACCTATATCTCGAGCTAGTCGTCGAAGGTAACTTAATTAATACCGCCTTCTACGTAGAGAGTATAAGGCAGGTATCTATTAATAGTAAGGGCTAGCAAGACAGATAGGCGCTTCTATCGTTACGTATACTATATATCGTAGCAATCTATACCCTCTAGCGACTATCTATATTTCCTATACGCTATCTTCTTATTCGAGGCTGTTTTATCTAAAAGTACTAACTTCTCGATAGGCTAACTCTTAATCTTCTTACTCTAAACCGCCCTATTCCTTGTATTCCTTTTAGTAGCTACTTTGCGCGACTGCTTTCGAGACTAGCCTATAACGCTAGTAAGGGTGCGGTAGACTATAGAAGGGTAAACTTAAACGCTAAAGTAGTTAAATAACTCGAGATATATCTCTTTAAGGTACGCTTCCGATCGGTCTCCTAGATATTCTTCTAACTACTATAGTAGTTAGTATAGCTTAAAATCTACCCTAATCGCTTACCTCTCGCATTTTAGGCGTTAGAGCCCTCGGCGTACCCGCCTTACCTCGAACCGGATAGTAATACTCGTCGAAGAGGTCTATATTTACGCGCTATCTAGTATTAATATAACGTTAATATAGCGACTCTAGTCTTCTTATAGATCTGTTTTATAGTGAAATTACCTCTAAAGAGCTAGGCCGCTTTAGAGATAGTATCTACGGGCATTCTAGTACTATAGCTATTACGCCTCTTAGGCTTCTTTAGTAGCTGTTTCTTCGACTTCTTAGGTATCATCAATAATACCTATAAAGGCTCTATACTATTAAAATAGCGACAATACGATA